CAACACTGCTGCACAAACAATGTGTCAGATCTGCAGAGTGCTCGCCACATGTAAAATATATAGAAATCGATGTACTGTTTCTGCTGCATAGGTAGTAGCAGAAACAACAAAAGGAAAAAATGGTCTCTTGTTTTCTGGCTTCTGTCGGCATGGCTTCCTCTGTTTTACACCCTGACAAGCTTTCAGCACCTTGGACAGCAGCTTGAAGTCAAGGTGTGACATCATGCATAACCTTCTGCTGATCAGTGCGCAGCTGCAACCCCCCGTTATTACACCCGGAGCGCTGTCCAAGGTGCTGAACCTCTAGTGTGGCTTAGGAATAAAAAAACAATGTTTAAAAAGAAAGCTCAACTTTTGCTACAATATCAGTTGCATTATCACTTAATCTTGCTCTGTTCCATGACAGAGCATCCTACCTTTGGACTAATTTTATTTTAATTTATGGATATTCTTAGCCTTAACGCACAACACTTTACCCTTTCAGAGATCTTCCAAAAATGAACCGACGCAGAAAAGTAATTCTCAAGGTGAACACACCACAGTGTTTGTGTAAAGTCGTGTCATTCACGTGGAAATTCCTGCTCTTTTAACAGAGCAGAACCACACAGCAGCGATCGTGGATTCTATCCGCGTCCACGCGAGGAATAAGGAGTAATGCATTTTTCATTGTCGGTGATTTGCCTCGAAGGTTTATTTCCCCTGTTGTCTCTCCGAATGGAATGATCTCTCTCACCCCCCCCCCCCCCCCCCCCCCCCCCCCCCTCGCTGAGATGAGCGCTCTGTGGAAGGCGGGTCGGATATAGTGTGGGAGAAATCCAGGGGCCCCGTCGGCAGTTGCGCTGAGTGAGTCGAGCTGAGAGATGTGCGTTGGCTGAGCTGGAGGAAGGACCGCTGCGCCTCACTTTTTATTCTTATTAGAAACGCCTCATCACCCTCAGCGTCTCACCTACCCGGGCACACAGTCATTGAAATTTCTACGGCTTCCAACTGGAATTTTGTTCTGGATTATTATGATTTGCTGCTTTTAGGTCCGGACTTTATCTCGTGTCCATAAAGGGAAAGGTAGGAACAGATTAAAACTGGGCCATCTTTGTGGTTGTGTGTTGTTGTTCTTGTTGTTTTTTTCATTTATCTGGATGAGACATTCTGTAAAGATATTTGGGTGCTGGTGTTCTAAAACGATTTAAGTTTCCTGTCGAAATTAATGAGGAATTTAGACAGAGTTCGGACCGAGATGGCGATTTAAGCGCAGCCGGATGGCTTTGATGAGTAGTTTCAAAGCTCACGCCCGCAGTCTAACCTTGAAGAATGCGTGACTTCGTTGGGTAAGCGCGTTTCGAGAGACCGTGTGGACTTATCAAATCGGAATTGCTTTCAAACGCGTCGGTGGCGAATGAGCCTTGGAACGGAAAGTTTCAGTTCACTGGTTCGCGCCTGACATTGACGCGCAATAGCGCAGACACTGGAGCAGAAACTGCCACAACTACTTATGATTTACTAATGTGTTTTTTGGGAGGGGGAGAGATAATCCCGGCTACCGTTCACGTTTCAATTCAAATGTTATAGGCAAAGGGGGTTTACAAATCGTGGATTAGCAGCCAGACTGCCACCGTGCGAGAAGCAGAGGGAAAACTGCTGGGGGGATGTTGCGCGCCCCGCTCCATGGATGCAGGGCTGCTGGTTTCACATTCGGTCGGATTTATGCGTTTTTCTATCATCTGAAATGATCAAATAGTATTCCATTAATGGATGGAATCAATCTTGTGACCCATAACGTCGTTGGCTCTCACAGTCGTTTTGGGAAATTGTCCGTGCTAGATTGAAACATCCACCTGGGCTTTGAGGGGCAGACAGCATCATTCTAATACATTTCTGCAAGAACTTTTGCCTCCGAGCTTCCTAGAGCTGCTGGGGACTTAATTATTTAAATTTCTCCCCAGAGGTCTTTGGTCATGAAATTAACTGATGGACATTAGGATTTTTTTTCATTCACTTCGGGCATAACTATTCATGGTAACAAGACTGTTTTTTTATATTCATAGCAAGATAGAGTGTATTGTCAGATATATTTATATCTGGTGTCACACTTAGGTGGTTCAGGTGAAGTTTCTGCAGTTAAACAGTAAAAGCTTTTTCTACCACCTGAGCTGGACCTGTGTGATTAATAAATTAAGAGTAGAACAAGACATGAGGCGCGTAGATATCCCCACTGAATGGAAATGCTGACGTTATCTGCTGTTTTCACTTATTACTCTGTCTAAGCATAAGACTAACAGATCCAGACACACTCCGAATGCAGCTCCTCCTTGTCTGCCGTGACTGATGTCGGATTAAATCGTTCCTCCGGGCTGAAGCCTGTGACAGACAGGGAGCATAGCAGGGGATGCAGGGGTCTCCTGTGTGTGATGGGGGCTCAGCTTCTTTACAAAACATGTCAATAAATCTGCTGCAGCCAAGCTTGAAGCCTCAATGCATCATTTATGGCCAGTCTGTGACAGTACCCGCGCAGGTTATCTCATATCCTGATCCATTTAATAATTCAATGTGTGTATCTCGGGAAATATGTTCTTAATTAGTGGAGAGAAACTGAAAAGGTTTCAGGTGTGCCGTGAAAACAGTGTCACTTCTTTAACTCGCCAAAGCATCCAGTTGATTATTTTTTACTCCCCAAAGACAGCTATGTTTGTTGTTGGGTTCGAGTTTTAGCTGACGGGCATCGTTCATGACAGGCCTGAGGGGGAAAATGTCAGAGAAATATTTTGTGCAAAGTTAAGTGGCTACCACATTAAACTAGCTTGTGTTAGCCAACAGGACAGCTACAAGCTAACAAGTCAGTGAGTTTTTTACATGAAAGTTGGCTTTCAGTTAGTATATTTCAACGGTATGAACTGACCCTGAAATGAAACTTTGTTTTGAGTAGTTGCTTTTTAATATTTTTTTATTTAAACAGGTGTAGTTTTGTGATAAGCACCACACGCTGCAGCTTAGAAGTGTCCCATCAGTGCTTTAGTTAACATAAAGAGAGCATTAGCATTGTTAGCATTCAATAAGAATCTATGGCCTTCAGGGACACTCGATACCTCAGCTGGACAATACACACAAGAAGTCATGTTAATTGAATAAAAGCCAAGCCAATTATTTTACAAACAGGATTCTTGGGTTACACGGGCATATGGGGCTTTGCTTATGCAAGGCGCGCAGCGCCTAACACACCTTTTTGTACACAATCTACGCCTTGTGGTTGGGCTGACACACAAGTGTTCGGGGCTATTTCACCACACAGAACCTTTTAACCTCTCGGCTGTCGCACACAGTGACTTTTAAGACAAAGACAATAATTCAGCCTGGCAGGCCGATGTTGTCAGAGGCACACATGTGCACCCGCACGCACGGGGGACACGCATGCAAGCACACACAGTACATTAGCATAGGTATCGGTTACTAGAATTCAATAGCTTGCTTGCTGCAGCAAGATTAACTATTCAGGGCAGGTAGTTAAAGGGCCTATTGTGTTGCACGGTTCTGTGCAACTGTCATGATCGGACAATGCATTTGTCTGGTGGGCAGCCCACTGCCAAAACAATTGCAAGGGCAAAAGGCTGAAAGAGTACACACACATATACGGTTTCACCAAGCAAGTCATTTGCAGCCCCGCTGAACAAATTTAAACAGAACTGAATGGGTTCAGGTGTAATATGCACAGGCGAGCGTGCTAGTTGATATTCCATAATGGCGTCTTGCCGATTTTGGAGCTGGAGATGATTTGAATATCTATTCAGTGGAGGAAATTTGAAAGAATCTTGATAGCCGTGGAATGCAAATATGAAGTGGTCCCATCTAAACAACTTTCTGAATAGCTGTTTACGGTTGCATTCCCCAAAAGACATGCAAATGAGGAAAACGAGAGAAGCTGCAGCTAATTAGTGATATTAGTCGAGATACCAGCAATTCCTTGCTGATAGTAGACTAATGTTTGAAGCTAAACACGTGTTCTGGCTCACCTCAATGGATTTTTAGTCATCGTGCAATCAATAACAGTAGTCAACAAGATGAATTCATTAATTTTTTTTTAACAAACTCTATCAGTTGTCCTCCACTGTTTGGGAATGAACTCAAGCTTTTAAAACACTGAGCAATTATTTGAGGCGGGTAATTATAAGTGGCACCCTGCATAAAATTCTTGTGAAACCATAATGGTTGTTATAATTGGTTATTTAGTGACATTTAATGGGCTTGCACAAAGTTTGCGATGAGTAGGCCTCTCAGTACCTTTCAGTTTTATTCAAATGTGTCATTTGTGCTTCCCTTATTGCGACTCTCCTGAATACTGTTTCAATGTGACACAGCCTCTTCACCTCCAATTTGATATAACTACATTTTTCAGCAGTTCTTTTTGTTGAATTTTGCACTTTCACTGAAATTCTGTTGCAGAATTTTCTATGATTAGATTAGATGTCTATGTTTTAGATATTTAAATTATTTTTTTGTTGATTGTGACCTTTTTGTTGGTGCTTTCTTCAGTCATGGCACTCTATGGAAGTTAATGTTTGTTTTCTGTCATTTGCCATTCATAGGGCGTCTGAAGCTGTGTTTTAAACCATGGCGTGTGGAATTGGACTATCCGTGGCTGTCGTTTGCTTCAATCCAGGAAGTCCCATGAAAGAAAAATTGCAGGATGCAGCTCTGAAATACTGACAAAACGCTCCAAGTCTCACCTTCTTTCACCAATCCACTTTGTGTGGAAACTGGATATTTTTTTCCCCATATATCTCCCCTTAGAGTTGGCTGACGAGATTAGATCCCGTCCATTACCAACATTGGATCCACTTGCAAAATAACAAAAAGGTATTGCAGCGTCCTTTTAGACTGTAAAATATTCTGTGTGGAATACAACATTCATCAGATAAACCCTGGAGCCAATCTGTAATCAAATGTTATCATCACTTTAAGGACCTATCCCCAGTTCTGCCCTCCTCTCGTGCGCCCTTTTATCCTCTACGATGAGTCCAAGCAGTCTATCTGGGCGTTTCCTCATGCTGCTAAGTACTGTGGTGGGCCTGGGCGTGGGCTTGGAGTTCACTGGCTCCGAGGGCCAGTGGGCTCGCTACCTGCGCTGGGACGCCAGCTCCATAAGTGACCTGACATTTCAGTTCAAGACCTCGGAACCGGAAGGCCTGCTGCTCTACTTCGACGACGGGGGATACTGCGACTTTCTGCTGCTCACCGTGTCCGAGGGTAGGCTCCAGCTCCACGTGAGCATCGACTGCGCCGAGACCACCATCGGCTCGGAGAAGATGGTCAACGATAGCCGCTGGCACTTCGCCACCATCAACAGGCACAATCTGTGGACTGGCCTGGCCGTGGACGGCCAGACCAAGACAGGAGAGGTGCGGCCCCAGCGACAGTTCATGAAGATTGTAAGTGACCTCTTTCTCGGGGGGCTCCCGGGTGACATTCGCACGTCCGCCATCACCCTGCCCTCTGTCCGTGAGCTGCCCCCATTCAAAGGAATTATCACCGACCTCAGTTATGGGAGTAAGCTGCCCACTCTAATCGAGAGTCAGAAAGTACGGCTGGAGATGATGGGCCTTTGCACGGAGAACCCCTGTGAGAACGGTGGGATCTGCTCACTGGCAGATGGAGAAACCTACTGCGACTGCTCTAAAACTGGATATGTAGGTCGATACTGCACTGAAGGTAAGACTGCTGGCTCCAGAGCTTTCTGTGTCAAGCACCGAATATTGATTAACGTCTTTGTAAAAGAAAATTCAGGGGGGGTTTCCAGTCAAATATAGAACTGACCTGACGTGAGGTTTGTCTTATTCTTGTGGAGAGTTGAAAGGCTCTCTCTGTTGGCTTATTGCATTGATGTATTCTAGAGATGATCTATGGGCATGTGATTTAAAACTAAAGCATTATTAAGCGTACTACCATGCCATAAAGCTAAAGTGATTTTATTAGATTTTTTTCCATTATGTGTGATTTCCATGACACAATATTCCCACTTCACCTGATACAAACTTTTTACCAAATGTCATTTGTGAAATACCTTGAAAGATGTGCATCGATTGCAGTCCAGCATTTCTAAGAAAGCGGGAACAGCTGCACAACCGTGTCTTTGAAAGATTTAATGCACTTTGCACACAACAGAATCAGAATATTTCTTTGTGGGCTGCTGCTCTTGCAGCTTAGCAGCTCTTCATATTTCATGTGGGAGTTAAATTGGAGGTGATGTGCTCAGCATTTCCTCTCCCTTCACAGTTATTACATTTGATGAGACTGTGGTGGATAGGATATTAGCTGATGTGACTAAAATTGCAACACTGAGTTCTTCTCTTTTTTGTTGTTTTTTTCATTAAATGTATTCAGATTTTACAAGGTGCGACAGGGACCTGAAGGTACACACAAAGTTTGGATGAGAAACAGCTTCATCTATTTTTCCTCTGCTTTTGTGCCAAGGCCATCTCTTCTTAGGGGAGCGTAATGAGATGCAGCTCTTTGACAGAATTCTCCCTTGTTTTATCCCTAAGCCTTCAAAGCTTTAGACATAAAAAGCCTTCTTTCAGCTAATACTTGTGTATACTTTCAAAAAGCCCAATGACACACTGATGTAACAGAGGAGTCATTTTTTAAAAGTTACCACCGGTCTGCCCCTGCCTTTCCAAGACAACAGTTTCCATGTGACGCACACAGACCTACATTAAAAAAAAAAAAAAAAAAGCCTCTCCTTGAAGCCTAGAGAACAATGCTGATTGATTCCAAGAATAACTCGTTTCATTCCCTTCAATTTGATATTGGACTCTCTACATCCTAATATTTCCATTTTCATATACAGATGAGTAATCCCGATGATCTGAACTTTTGCTGTAACCTTGCACAGTTAGCTCTTTTCATCACGGGAATGGATTAAAGAAGAGTACTTTGTGTGAACAGACCCATGTCAAATTTCCTCTGCTGCTGACCCACTTTGTGCCTATCTAAATCACACTGACGTGGTTGCAAGATGACTCCATTTTGTCAAAAAATCCCAGGGGAATGCTCACTGAATGCTACCGCACCAACTGCAAGCCATTTCAAAGCGCATCCAGCTCAGTTAAGCTGCTGCAATTTGTCATCATTTCAGCATGCGTTTGAAAATACGAATTTCCCAGTTTCTGTAAAAAGGGTCTCTCGCCACGTTTGCTGCTCAGATGAAGCCGTTTGGAGCTTAAAACCTCCAGCGCTGGCCCGTGGCATTGTCAGAGCAGCACGCGATGTGCTGGTTGTAGGGCAGCCAAGCGAACGGAGCGGACTTGACCCCTTTTTCGCTCCATCCCATTTGCTCACAGCCTGTGTCGAAGAGTCAATAGACAAGGAGTAGGTGGTCCGTTTGTCTGAGAGCTGATGGGGGGAACTATGACATCTTTGTGTTAAAACGACCAAGGTCTTAAGAGGACATTCGCAACTCAGCCAAATAGCTCAGACAGGGAAAGGGGTTGTCATAACACAGCCTCGGGGCAGAGAGAGAATGACGAGCAAATTCACCGCTGGCCTGTTGCACCCTAATACCTCCCAGGAGGTCAGCTGTCGGACTCGAAACCACCGTCGCTGGCTGTCAGTTTCAGACAGAGACGTTTGGACGCGGATTCTTCGTCTCCCTGCTTTTTCGAGAGGCAAAGACTGCAGTCATGCTAGCTCCCCAGCTAATATGACTGCTGCTCCTTTCTGCTTCCCCATTAACCGACGTGGCTGATTGTTGATTATGCCACAGAGACCGGGAACCATAATTAGGGGGATAATGAGAACGGAGATGGCTAATTTGCCTCGAAGAAGCCCGCACAAACGACAACCTCTATTCAGAGTGTCTGTCGGCAAATAAAGCGCAGTTTGTTGTTTTTATCGTCGTTTCCCCGTGTCCACAAGTGGCAGCGTACTTGTTGTTCGAGCATCGCACGAGCGCGGGCGGCGTTTCCGGGGGGGATATTTAAAGCGACGACACTTTTAGCGTCGGGTTTCAGTTTCATACGAACAACTGGTCGGCACACCTGTCTTTGTGGATATACTGTGATTAAGCTATGCATTAATGAGCAACAAAAGCAATCTGTCGAAGGCCCTGAATATTTATACGTAGCATTGTCTCGCAGCGTGGTCCGGGCTTCCGCAAACACGGTTGCATTACACACACGTTTGCACACATTAACACGGACAAGGCCCTTGAGCGGCTCGTTAAAACGGGCAGATGGCTGACTGACTGAGCGGAGCGGGCCTTGAAAGCATTTTCGCCAGCCGCGCTCCCAATGTTAGCCCACTGGCCTAGAAGGGAAGTACAAGGAGCGCGCAGCGGCAACATGTGAGACGAGGTATCGGAAAATGGGAACGCGGGGTAAACCCTGTCGTTGCCACCCGCCCTGAAAAACTTCCCACGATTTTTGCCCATTAGTGAAATGGTTTATTTCCGGAGAAATCTGCCATTTTTTGCCCCCTGCAACATATTCAAAATCCTTTTCCATTTGGTCATAAAACACAGGGCCCGTCTCTACTCCCATGTGGGTCAGGGTATTTCGGTAAGATTACCATGTTGGGCAATACAATGAAATTGGCCTGTCTTCATGTTCATCAACTCTAACAGACGGATCCACTTTGCTTTCCTTCACAAAAACTCTCGATTTTTAGCTGCGCAAGCATTCGAATCCTTTATGGTAATAATGTAGACACTGAGGCTCATTCTGATGATCTCACTTAGCAGCGACTACCTAATGAAGTCTCTCGAATACCTTTGGGTATTTTCCCATTACAGGGAGATATGCATAAGGTCAAGGTGGTTAACAGCTAGCCTGAATTGTTTTATGAATATGTAAAATGGTCACCCATTTCCTCTTTCAGAGTCCCAATTCCTGCATTTGTAATGAACGGCCCAATTTTTCTTACAAGGAAAAAAAATGCATTTACTTGATGGAGGGCCAGTAATTGAAGGACAAGTCAACTGTTAAGCAAGTGCTGAAATGGTGCCTTCAGGCTTAGCTTTGGGGATTAATAAACAGACGTGGAAAAAATGACAGTTACAATAATCTTACTGTAAAAAGTAGGTCAGGAGGAAAAAAAAAAAAAAAGGAAAAAAAGAAAAAAAATGGCGGCGGGACCTGCCTGATCCCAGTGCAGAGGGCATTTGCGTCTAGTGCCCAAGCTGAAAATTATGTTTGGATTTGAGTGGTGAAGCTGCTGGTAAAATGGAGCAGGGGATTACGCTCAGACCACATGTCCTCAGCAGCACATTGGCTTTTTCTGAGCGCTGCTGCATCTAGAGAAAAAGGGTTTTATCTGCACTGGAAAACTGAGCAATTTAACATGCATGCGGTATCCACACATTTACTGGATGCACCGTCGGGGAAAAAAAAAAAAAAAGAAATGCGCGTACCTGCTGATTCAGGCACATAAATTCAGCGGCTCCAAGCCTCCACTTCTTAAAAGCTGCAACTTCACTGCTGTCCATCAACTGGCCGCCGTCTCTCAGCCCCCCCCCCGCTTCCACGCTGCGTCCTTCCTATTTCCTCTTCCAATGTCATCCTTCTTATGTGGGAGGAGAAGAATCGTCCATTTTAGACTCCCTAAAGGAGACGGGAAAAAAAATCCAACTTGGTATTCACCAGCTGTGTTTCTTCCCCGTCTTTCGCCTTCTGTTGAGCTAGTTAAATTCATTATTGAACTGAAACTTTGCAGCGTCAATGAGTAAAAAAAAAAAAAAAAACAAAAAAAAACTAAATCCCTTTCTCTCCAGCGCTGGGATATGGGCCAGTCCTCCATGTAGCTTGGACAAAGATCGAGGCACAGCACCAAGTCAAATTAAAGTCTGGAATCCTGTATGAGTACTGACACCCAAAATTATTAATGCTACAATAATTAAGATTTGTTTCATTTTCCCACCTCAAATTTTTATGATCTTCGGAGGCTCACTCTTGGAAGAATCCTTTTAGGTCCAGATTAAAGAAACAGACAGATGCTGAATACTCTCCCTAGGTCACACTTGCATGTGTGACCTGTGTTAATCTACAGGCCAGAGCCCTGGTGAGGTCATTTGCCACAAGCAATGGAGCTCAATATTTTTGGCTCGACATATTGTGTACCGTATCAAAAATCCCACAGTGAGCATTCTCCTGAGAAAAAAACAAAAACAAAACCTGAGTTGGGATCTGCCGAGCGGGGAAAGAGCCGTTCGGTGGCTTGATGGAGCCAAAAAAGGCTCAGCGGAGGTGGAGGGGGTTTAACATGGGTCTGGAGAAACACCATCCTGGGATACACAAACCTTACAACCCCATAAATCCTCATGGGTGTGGATTTATGTATGTTTTTAACGCGTGTGGGAGACTCTGTGTGATGCAAGGTGTGCAACACAATGGGACAGCACTCAAACTGTGAAACAGTTGTTTTGCCCAAGGACTTTCATGTCAATCTGGCTCCCTGAGAGGACGGGACAGATGAAAATTTCCGGTGTTTCTTTCCACAGGGATTTCTACAGAGGTTGTTATTTTAATCAGGCATGTCAAGGCGCATCTCCTCGCGCCTTACATGACAGCTCGGTGATTAGAGGTGTGGTATGTTTTGCATGTTCTAGTCACATGCAAACGCAGCTAGAGTGTGTCGCTAATGCAATGCTTCTGTCTGCTTTCTCTCTCTCTCTCTCTCTCTCTCTCTCTCTCTCTCTCCCACTCTCTCTCCCATGAACTATCCGCAGCAGCCCAGAGAAAACCAGGTAAGTCTCACAGGGATTAGTTCTGAACTTCAGTGAAATTGCCACATTTTATATGCATAGTTCACCCTGTGAAGAATATCTTGTAAAAATGTGGAAGTACCAGCCATCCAGTCAGAACGGTTAGAATTGCCATGTATGCAGTAAATAACTCCCCACAGCTACTTTGGACACAGGGTTTCTCCTTTTATTGATAATTCCTCTGTTCCAATAGAAAGCTTTTTAATGCATTTGAGAAAGCTTCGTGTGTTTGCCATGGTTTGCCCTCGTGTAAACCATGCACAGTGACAATACAACTGCAGTATTGGCGTGTTGTTCTCACTTTTTTCGGGTTTCCCTTCTGCTTGATTTTTTCTCTTCAAGGCCTCGCACACCTGAAGGCAGAACAAGGTACTCTCTTCTTTTTTTCCCCTCTCCTCCTCTGGTTGTGTTTTGGGGTGTAAATATACACTGTGTGCCTTCACCACCTGTCCATGCACATTTGTGTGTCGCATTCACCGCCGCTGCAGAAGAGTGGGCGGGCCATTGTTTGTGATAGGAGGGAGGGGGGGGCGGGGGTGCATGGCAGTATGGCATGTCCCACATCTCACCTTCATCCTCCCCCGTATTCCGTGTGTGCTCGCTACACCCAGATTTCTCGGCATTACATAATTGTGTAGTAGTCTGCAGCAATGTGCAGTGACACAGCCCTCTCTAGGAGGGAACGGGGGAAGCAGAGGGTCATGGAAAAGGTAATTGTCTGAATTTAGAAAGACAAAGAAGATGCATAATAGAGTTTTCAAAAGAATTACGAACAAAGCACATCAACACAGAGGAGCACCCTGCAATGTGGGTCGCTATCATTTTGTGTCATTTGGCCCTGACTTTTTCTGGAGCCGCAAACCCGATTTTGTTCCTTTACTTCTTTAGCTCAGTTGTAATTGAAAGGCACAGTTATTCATGGTTTAACTGTCAAAAATTCTAATGTAAAAAAACACACAAGTTCAGCTTTTTAGATGCAAATGAATTATTGAGCTGCTCTTAATGCCTTATGAAAAAGCAGCCAACGTCCAAATAAAAGCTCTGAAACGCCTTCATAAAGCCAAAAGAACTAACGGTGAAGACCTCTATTAAACAGATT